GAAAAATAACAACACTTTGTCAGGACTATGAGGCGATCATTCCTCACAACTTTCAGTTCAATCGCCGCAGCAGAACTTGACTTTTAACAAAGTTTGAAATAGTTTTTCAAAATGGCGGCCGTGGCGGCCATATTGGATTTCTGATCGACCCGAAAAATAACAACACTTTGTCAGGACCATGAGGCGATCATTCCTACCAACTTTCAGTTCAATCGGCCCAGCAGAACTTGACTTTAAGTTTGAAATAGGTTTTCAAAATGGCGGCCGTGGCGGCCATATTGGATTTCTGATCGACCCGAAAAATAACAACACTTTGTCAGGACCATGAGGCGATCATTCCTACCAACTTTCAGTTCAATCGGTCCAGCAGAACTTGACTTTAAGTTTGAAATAGGTTTTCAAAATGGCGGCCGTGGCGGCCATATTGGATTTCTGATCGACCCGAAAAATAACAACACTTTGTCAGGACCATGAGGCGATCATTCCTACCAACTTTCAGTTCAATCGGCCCAGCAGAACTTGACTTTAAGTTTGAAATGTAAAATGTTAACGGACGACGACGGACGAAAACGGATAGCAATAGGTCACTTGAGCTAAAGCTCAGGTGACCTAAAAACTAGGTGAAAACCTGTCAAAAGTGACTCAATAATCAAATTTCAATAATTTATGCAAATATGACCTGGTTACCATGGCAGCCAAAATTGAAAACACAAATAAATATTTACATAATAGTACTGGGGAAGTATTCAAAATTAAAGAAACATTTGTTTGAAACTTCTATTGCAGATTTTCAATTTTGATGGATTTGGGGGGCCAAAAAAGGCCCAAGTCATACATAGTCCTTTGTCAATCATTTCGAAACAAAAATATGAAGGAACTTAAAACCAAATACTGTTTTCAATGTTTACATTTGACTTTTTGATCGTTTGACATGATTTCACTGAGTTACAAGAAACTTGGTTTGAGCACAAATTCCATGCTTGAGCATGTCAACGGTCCCATGAATACAGGCCCTGATCATTTTAACCTCCAATCCATGGTCTACTTCTTGATAAAACCAGACCTACCTTTGCCTCCAAAGCCTGCTTTCTATGCTTCAGCTCTGCTACAGCTTTCTGGATATCTACATCAGGGGCTTTCTCGGATTTTAATTTACGTACTAGGTCACCCTGTGGACATAAAATTTACTTCAGTTTTTTAATTGTTTTGATGTTTTGATGCATATACAGCAATTTATGATTTTTTAACACACGTTGCCATTCTTTTTCAAATGTCACCACAGAATACAGCTGTCGACGATCCAGAATTCTACATAAGCATGACTTGTATAATCAATAGTGCCTCAAACATTTAATTAGAGTATTACAGCATTTTACAATACTATTGGGAAATACATGAATTGTAACAAATGTGATTAAGAGTTGTGAAAGATATAGCTTAATAGGACACTGTGTTGACGATTTTGAAAGCATCAAACAAAAGACTGAGGGCAACAATTCCATTGTGTCAAAGCCATATATGTATATAGTTCTAACTTCTAGGACATAATGAGTGTTTGCAGCAATCTAAGGATGTGTTTGAAGACATATGGCTTGCATTGTGATGGCTTGAGAATGAGTGAGTGCCGAGTTTGACAGGGGTAAGAAGATTTTCTGGATGGAGTGATTCATGACAAGCCCAAGCTGAAGCTGGAGATCGATGACGAAGATGTAAAGTTGGCTAGTGTTAGGAGTTTATACTGTCAGTGCATGACTGCAAACATTGCATGTGATGAAGCTGGTGTTAGGTATATAGCTGTTTCACACATTAATTTGGCTGCAGGCTGTTGCACTTTCTTCAACTAGTTAATTTGACAGGTGTCCCAAACTGAGGCAATGCATTCTAGTTTGAGATGTACCAGGGTTCTATAAGCATGGTCTTCTATATGCTTATAATTTACTTCTAGATTTCGACATAGGATTTAAGCCATATAATGCATGATTGATTTGCCTTAGAATCTAGTAATTGAGTTGATGTGGTTGTCCAACCTAGGATGTGAATGGATTTCGACTCCCAAGATATATTTTGCAGAATTTGTAGGGTATATTAAACCATGTAATTTAAGGACACTGGGAATGAGTTATAGTCTGTTGTATACTATTGACCTAAAGGATCACATAATTTTCTGGGTGAAGGACACAAGCTTAGTCCCTTTGCCCATCCTCGATATCGAGGGGCATATATGCTCACTTTCGTTCTCTGCACCCCTGGAATAAGGCAAGGCTAAATTAATGGTATGCAGCTTTAGCTATTTTATTGGTGTCAGGTAAAAAAAACCTGACCAATCACTAGGCTGATACTAGTCCTTTCAAGATTACAGAGGAGCGACGCCCGACTTCAAAGCCAATAAGTTTTACAGTTACGTGACCGCAAGATTCTTTTGATGTACATCAAAGGATCAAACTAGCATTCTCGTCTCATCCATAAGGCAGTGCACACCGAGCCTTCAATTTTGCTATGACATATTCCAGGGGTGGAGAGAGCGAAAGTGAGCATAACCCCTGGATATCGAGGATGCCCTTTAGACAGCTTTAAGGTCTTGTAAATGTGTTCAATGGTACATTCCTCCACTTTTACGACCTTTTACCAAGGATGACACAGTTAGTTTCACAGGGATTGCTTGTTGGTCATGCAGACCTGTACATTTGTAGTTGGTGGTTTTATAATTTGGCAAATCAAACTTTACAATCACTTATCACCTACTGACTTGTACAGGCTCTCCCAACAATGTTGGGTGTGTATTGTAAACGAAACAGGAAAGAGACTAGTGTGCTTCCACCTGGGATCCAACCACCGACCTGATCTGGCTTCCAGAAGTCCTAATCCTATGTATAGGTACACTCGAGCCCGAGCATGAAGCTAGAAGGTGATCGACTCACTGACTGAGATCATTTTATGTATGTACAATTAAAAAAAAAAAATCTGCTAGTCACTATATTCCCCACTTTTAAAATGTGTTTGCCTTCGAACATCACAACCACAGGTAATAACCTCGTCCCCAGCTTGCCCTGAAAGTACACCAGACTTAAGACATTTTTACAGATAGATATCTGTTGCATTGTCTATCTGTCAACATGTCTACGTCTGATGTCAGGGCCAGAGGAAACTCGTGATAGCTATATATATTGCTAGCACAAAGACAGTAATGTTAGCGTACACGATAATTAATTTAATATCACACATACGTTCATTTTCCAACAAATTATTTTATTATAAATGATCGTGCCCAACAACTTCGGATCGGAAATCTTTAAGAACTTTACTTGCTTATTAATTTTGAAAGCTTCCGCCGAATCTAGATATTTGAATTCCATGTAGCGCCTACCTGTTCTTTGACAGCTGCTCTCAGTGGGGCTAACAGGGCTTCAATTTCGGTGTCCGACATGGCAATTTCGCTTCTTGGTGGACTATTGTATGCCTGCCTTTTCTTGAAGCCCCAGTCCTCTGTTTGCTGTTTAGAATGTACACAACTCGAGCAAAATGTCTTCAAAACCTGACGATGCGGAATGTTCTTAAAACAGATTTTTTGTAACAGTGGTCTCACAATCCTTACCAACTGTTTCATCAGTCTCTGACATATGCCACGCTCGACCCATAAAAAAAAATGACACGGAAGTGTAGAACGATATATGTTCATTTCCGACAATAATTAACCTGTGTTTGCTTATTCAACGTATGCTTTTATTTCGATAAAATCACTATTTTCATTTTCATATCTAAAGTTATAATAAATCTGAAGATAAAAGAATAATATTTAAATAACTTTTGAATAAAAGTTACGATCACATCATTTTCTAATAAATCCATATAGGCCCCAATGAGATGCATCATGGGAATTTATAAGATGGCTGCGCCCATGCGGCAACTATGTCGGCAAGATGCAAACAAATCAATATGGTTTTCAGTGCATGACGATTGTGTGTAACATTTGCAGTGAACATGATACAACATGCAATCTTTACTTAACTTAAATAGTTTTAATGCATCGGTTGATAAAAAGATAATCGTAAGGATTATCACGTACCCGCTTGCAAATTTGTCAACAAACCTGCGGAGAAACCACGTGTGTTTTAGATCGAGATGTAAACAAGCTTTGACAGCCAGAAAACTTAACAAGATCAGTGGACTCGTGCGGCCTTTGTCATGTTCAGTTGTTCACCATAGGAAACTGGTTTTAGGGATAGAGACAAGTTTCGATGACACAGGAGCAGCAGTTGTTGATGATGTTGGAAATGTCTTGGGAGAAGCGCTTGAAAGTCAGACGAAGCTCCACTTGGAGTAAGGGGAGATAATTATGCTATGGAAAAAAATCATTTTGTTAAAAAAAATGAAATATTTTATTCGATTAGGACATTTTGGCACTTGTGAGTTAATTTTATTTAATCACTTATTTTCGTTTTTTCTGTGCACTATTAATAATAAACAGTATATTTTACCCAGGTTAAATATATTGTAATGTAATGGGAAACGGTAAAGAGAAATTCCCTCTAGTGCAAAGCTAGAATGTGACCATAATCATTCAATTAAAATCTGCCACACTACTCCCCCCTTTCTAAATGTGCTCATCCCTAATAACCAAATACAACCCAGGTTCTAACTCCCAGTCATTGCAAACTTGTTTAGGGCTTGTTTCAGTACATTGTGAAGGAATTTGGATCAAATTTGATCTGGTCCTTGGGCAAAGGGGATGTTTAGATTAAGTTTTAGGCCTTTCTAGTGGCAAAAAGGAAGGCACAATATACTAACTGGAAGTAATTACCTTAATTAACTACCCTTAGGTCAAGGGAACATAAACTTGTAAGGATGTTGGCCATCTTGGGTCAGAGAGGTCAGATACACTGGTCTTAAAGGGATATTTCGAACAGTTTTGCTCCAAAATCCTACTCCTCATAAACAGCTACAAAAATTGTAACCATATTTGGTTAGAAATATTCCTTGCAGGGAGATAATTTTAGTATTTTGTTAAAACGAAGTTAATTCCAAAAGCACCTCTTGCGCTGGAAGACATTATTATGGGGCCCCTTTTTGTCAATAGAGGAAATTTGAGTGAACAGCTGTGCTATACATAAAATGATAAAAATCCCCAATGTGTATATATCCATTATGTACTGGTACACAAAATAAATACATCCATGCTAGAAGTTATGATATATAAATATAAACGTTAAATGTATTATTTTTAGCTCACCTGCCCGAAGGGCAAGTGAGGTTATGCCATGGTGCGGCGTCCGGCGTCCGGCGTCCGTCCGGTGTCTGGCGTCCGTCTGTCCGGCGTCAACTTTATACTTAAACAACTTCTTTTCAGTAACCAAACAGCCTTGGATGATGATATTTGGCCAGTAGCATCCTGGAATCAACGGCTACCAAGATTGTTCAAACAAATGACCTTCTCCCATTTACAAGGTCACAGGGGTCAAATATGTTTAAAACCTTTAAAACAACTTCTTCTCAATAACCAAACAGCCTTGGATGATGATATTTGGCCAGTTGCATCTTGGAATCAAGGGCTACCAAGTTTGTTCAAATGAATGACCTTCAGCCTTGGATGATGATATTTGGCCAGTAGCATCCTGGAATCAAGGGCTACCAAGTTTGTTCAAATGAATGACCTTCATCCATTTTCAAGGTCACAGGGGTCAAATATGTTTAAATCTTTGAACGACTTCTTCTGAAGAACCAAGAAGCCTAGGGTGATGATATTTGGCCAGTGACATGCTGGGATGAAGAGCTACCAAGTTTGTTCAAATGAATGACCTTCATCTATTTTCAAGGTCACAGGGGTCAAATATGTTAAATACCTTTCAACAACTTCTTCTCAGTAACTGAAAGGCTAAGGGTGATGATATTTGGCCAGTATCATGCTTGGATGAAGGGCTACCAAGTTTGTTCGAACAAATGACCTTCGCCCATTTTCAAGGTTGGAGCATCCTTTGGCCAAGGGGACTCAATTTTGTATAAACGATGGGTGTGGCCCCACTGGGGGCAGAATAGGGGAAATAGAGGTAAAACCTTTTAAAATCCTTCTTCTACCATAGGGGTTAAGAATTTTTATCGTTATTTAGTCTGCAGCATCCTTGGTCCAAGGGGACTCAATTTTGTATAAACGATGGGTGTGGCCCCAATGGGGGCAGAGGGTTGGGGCCCAATAGGGGAAATAGAGGTAAAACCTTTAAAATCCTTCTTCTACCATAGAGGTTAAGGGTTTTTATCCTTATTTAGTCTGCAGCATCCTTGGTCCAAGGGGACTTAATTTTATATAAACTATGGGTGTGGCCCCACTGGGACAGAGAGTTGGGGACCAATAGGGGAAATAGAGGTAAAACCTTTGAAATCCTTGTTCTACCATAGGGGTTAAGGGATTTTATCCTTATTTAGTCTGCAGCATCATTGGTCCATGGGGACTCAATTTTGTATAAACGGTTGGTGTAGCCCTCTGGTGGCAGAGGGGTGGGGCTGAATATAGGGGAAATAGAGGTAAACCTTTAAAATCCTTCTTCTACCATAGGAGTTAAGGGATTTTGTCCTTATTTAGTCTGCAGCATCCTTGGGCCAAGGGGACTCAATTTTGTATAAACGGTGGGTATGGCCCCACTAGGGACAGAGGGATGGGGATGGGGTTAAAAAAGAAAATAGAGGTAAATTTTAAAATCCTTTTTCTACCATAGGGATCAATGGATTTTATTCTTATTTGGCCGGAAGCATCCTTGGGCCAAGGGGACTCAATTTTGTATAAATGGTGGGTATGGCCCCACTAGGGACAGAGGGGTGGGGTGGGGCTAAAAAGGAAAATAGAGGTAAACCTTTAAAGTCCTTCTTCTACCATAGGGATTAAGGGATTTCATCCGAATTTGGTCTGGACCATCCTTACGCCAAGGGGACTCAATTTTGTATAAACAGTGGATGTGGCCCCCCTTGAGGCAGAGATGTGGGGCCCAATAGGGGAAATAGAGGTAACATTTTTAAGATCCTTCCTCTACCATAGGGATTAAGGGATTTTTTTTAGCTCACCTGGCCCGAAGGGCCAAGTGAGCTTATGGCATGGTGCGGCGTCCGTCCGTCCGTCGTCAACATTTTACTTTAAACAACTTCTTTTCAGTAACCATAAGGCCTAGGGTGATGATATTTGGCCAGAAGCATTCTGGGATAAAGGGCTACCAAGTTTGTTCAAATAAATGACCTTGACTTATATTCAAGGTCACGTGGGTCAAATATGTTTAAAACTTTTCAACAACTTCTTCTGAATAACCGGTAGGCCTAGGGTAATCATATTTGGCCAGAGGCATGCTGGGATGAAGGGCTACCAAGTTTGTTCACACCTGTGACCTTCATTTATTTTCAAGGTCACAGGGGTCAAATATGTTTAAAACCTTTCAACAACTTCTTCTGAATAACCAATAGTCCTAGGGTGATGATATTTGGCCAGAAGCATGCTGGGATGAAGGGCTACCAAGTTTGTTCACACCTGTGACCTTCATTTATTTTCAAGGTCACAGGGGTCAAATATGTTTAAAAACTTTCAACAACTTCTTCTGAATAACCGATAGGCCTAGGGTGATGATATCTGGCCAGAAGCAAGCTGGGATGAAGGGCTACTAAGTTTGTTCAAATAAATGACCTTGATTTATATTCAAGGTCACAGGGGTCAAATATGTTTAAAACCTTTCAACAACTTCTTCTGAATAACCGATAGGCCTAGGGTGATGATATTTGACCAGAAGCAAGCTGGGATGAAGGGCTACTAAGTTTGTTCAAATAATTGACCTTGATTTATATTCAAGGTCACAGGCGTCAAATATGTTTAAAACCTTTAAACAACTTCTTCTGAATAACCAAGAGGTCTAGGGTGCCAAAATTTGGCCAGTAACATGCTGGGATAAAGGGCTACCAAGTTTGTTCAAATAAATGACTTTTGTTTATATTCAAGGTCACAGGGGTCAAATATGTTTAAAACATTTAAACAACTTCTTCTGAATAACCAAGAGGCCTAGGGTGCCAAAATTTGGCCAGTAACATGCTGGGATAAAGGGCTACCAAGTTTGTTCAAATAAATGACATTGATTTATATTCAAGGTCACAGGGGTCAAATATGTTTAAAACATTTAAACAACTTTTTCTGAATAACAAATAGGCCTAGGGTAATGATATTTGGCCAGTAACATGCTGGGATGAAGGGCTACCAAGTTTGTTTAAATAGATGACCTTGATTTATATTCAAGGTCACAGGCGTCAAATATGTTTAAAACCTTTAAACAACTTCTTCTGAATAACCAAGAGGTCTAGGGTGCCAAAATTTGGCCAGTAGCATGCTGGGATAAAGGGCTACCAAGTTTGTTCAAATAAATGACATTGATTTATATTCAAGGTCACAGGGGTCAAATATGTTTAAAACCTTTAAACAATTTCTTCTGAATAACCAAAATGCCCAGGGTGATGATATTTGGCCAGTAGCATGCTGGGATGAAGGGCTACCAAGTTTGTTCAAATGAATGACCTTCACCAACTTTCAAGGTCACAGGTGTCAAATGTCTTTAAAATCTTCAAACAACTTCTTCTCAATAACCAAAAGGCCCAGGGTACTGATTTTTGGGCTGTAGCAATCAGGGCTACCAAATTTGTTCAAATGAATGACCTTGACCCACTTTCAACCTAATGTCATTGTTTGACATTCAAGGTCACACTGATATTCTGCCTGTAGCTGTGATTTAGTCCACTTTTAAGTTTACAAGTGTGAGATTAATACCAGGTGAGCGATGCAGGCCCACTGGGCCTCTTGTCTTATTTAGTCTGGAGCATCCTTGGTCTAAGGGGACTCAATTTTGTATTAATGGTAGGTGTGGCCTCCCCCCCTTGGGGCAGAGGGGTGGGCCCAATAGGGGAAATAGAGGTAAACTTTTAAAATCCTTCATCTACCATAGGGATTTCATCCGAATTTGGTTTGGAGGATCCTTGGACCAAGGGCACTCAATTTTGTATAAATGGTAGGTGTGGCCCCCAGGGCAGAGGGGTGGGGCCCAATAAGGGAAATAGAGGCAAACCATACAGTACCTACCAAGGACTGCTATATCTTTACTTCAAATCAAGTGCTTTAAACATATATCCAGGTGAGCGATACAGGCCCTCTGGGCCTCTTGTTTCAATCATTCAATAAAGTTCAAAGACATGTTATATATATATACAAATTTATTACATTCAGATATGGAGGAGCAAAGCCTGATATTGCAATGAGAATTCACAAGCAAAACATTGGTCCAGTGGTAGACACAGCCCTTAGTGCCGCCAATATCAGACTCCAGGCAAGATAGTTTGTCAATCTTCACTTAATAACATTTTTGAAGACCATATTTTGGATATTTCTCAGGGGTTACCTTTGCAGTCAGTAGCCAATAACAATTCCCATCTACTACTGTTATTTCACCGGCTACTTTCATGAAAAATTAAAATTGGAAGAATGTTAATGGAGTACTATGAAATGTACTGAAATTAACCACCCAATTTGTGTTCAGGATACATACAACTTGAAATCTTTTTGAAATCCCTGGATTTCTTACCTGTTGTCTATTATAAATGATAAGCACACAGGTACAATAATTGTGTACAAATTTAAATGAAATTATATCAAACTGCTGTACTAAAAAGTTAAAAACGAACCCATATACCTCAACTGTTATTTAGTCATATATACATACATCTTAAAGAAACTCTAAGGATTAATAATCCTGTCCTTATAAAAGATGATTCGTCTTTAAGCTGAAAGCAATATGTTGTACGTTTTGTTTAGGATCTGGATGCCGTTGCTGTGACAACTAAACCAGGATTAGCACCCTGTCTGTATGTTGGTCTTAACTATGCCAAGGAACTCGTAGCTAAATCTGGGTAGGTCGTTACTGAAGTTTATTACATCTTCGGATAGTGTTTTATTACACATCTTTCACTCAACATCTGGATAAAATACATTAATGCAGTATTATAGGCATCCTCTATGCAGGAATTTTTAAGGTACCGAAGGTCTGGTATTACAGGTAAGTATTTAAAGTGTAGTTACATATTTATTTATAAAATTTAACAAGACTGTATGAAGTTAAAACTGTTCAATAGAGTTTTTAGCTCACCTGGCCAACTCTTTCCTTTAAAATGCTACTATTTGTGTCTTGTACTCCTTTGATAAACCTGTATGGTACTCAGCAGGTTTTAAATTGAAAATAAAATACCAGGTGAGCTATTAAGGCCCCTGGGCCTCTTGTTTTTATATGAAAGGAAAACAAATATCAAACAAGTCACATAAATCAGTATATATATTGTCTTGTTTTGTTGCAGGAAGCCAATGATACCGATCCACCACATGGAGGCTCATGCTCTTACAGCCAGAATGATCCACAAGTAAGTATCCAGAAATAATAGTATATATATAAGGCAATATATGTGATGTCTTACTGTACGTTGTAATTATAAGTGTAAAGCTCAGGCGTAAGTATTGTTCATGCTTTCTATTCTGTTTTTTTCTTTCTTGGCAAACTCATTAGAAATTTGAAATTTTCTGGAGGTTACAGTATACTCAAATTAAAACACTGGAAACTGGTAGAACACATGCCTTTGGAAATCTGATTTTAAGTCAGAAATTCCAAGGGTTACACTAACTACGTACTCGTAACTACGAAGGCACAAAGTTAGTGGTTTGATTGGTTTCATAAAAACTAGACACCTGCCTTACGTAACACATGTGCCAACAACTGACCGATTGCTAGACTGATACCTGTCCTTTGAAGATTACAAAGGAGCAACACCCCCACTTCAAAGCCAGTCAATTTTACTGATATGCTGCTGAATGATTCTTTTGATGTTAGTCAAAGGATCAATTACTGTATAGCGCTTTAAATTCGCGGGGGCAATATTTAGCGGTTTCGTATTCAGTACATATTCGTAGGGATTTAATTTCGCTGTGCACCCGAATCCCATGTGTTGCGCAAAGTATTTTGAGTGTCATCATTTAAGGGTTAAACCTCGAAATACAGGTAAACCGTTTGAAAACACTGATCCAGAGCGTCGTCATCCGAAAGAAAATAAAATGTGTATGTATCTTTGTAGGAGTAAACCGTTATCAATTAATCACCTACTGTACATGTGTACACATAAATATGTTGGGGCCACTTATATGTATGTGTTGTTTTTAAATGGACTGCCCAGATGTCCGGTGATGATCTGATTTGAGTTCATTTGAGTTTGCATAACAGCGTTGGGTTATAAGTATTTTCAACATGTTGTGATAATAGGTCCGTAAAAGTGGTTAACATTTTCGATAATTTCGCTGGTGTTTGATCTGATTTGAGTTCATTTAAGCTTGCATTACAGCGATGGGTTATAAGTATTTTTCAACATGTTGTGATAATAGGTCCGTAAAAGTGGTTAACATTTTCGATAATTTCGCTGGTGTTTGATCTGATTTGAGTTCATTTAAGCTTGCATTACAGCGTTGTGTTATAAGTATTTTTCAACATGTTGTGATAATAGGTCCGTGAAAGTGGTTAACATTTTCGATAATTTCGCTGGTGTTTGATCTGATTTGAGTTCATTTAAGCTTGCATTACAGCGTTGGGTTATAAGTATTTTTCAACATGTTGTGATAATAGGTCCGTAAAAGTGGTTAACATTTTAGATAATTTCGCTGGTGTTTGATCTGATTTGAGTTCCTTTAAGCATGCATAACAGAGTGGGTTATAAGTATTCTCAACATGTTGTGATAATAGGTCCGTAAAAGTGGTTAACATTTTAGATAATTTCGCTGGTGTTTGATCTGATTTGAGTTCATTTAAGCATGCATAACAGAGTGGGTTATAAGTATTTTCAACATGTTGTGATAATAGGTCCGTAAAAGTGGTTAACAATTTCGATAATTTCGCTGGTGTATAGAATTCGCAGATACCAGTCAAAGTGTGAAGATAGCAAAATTAAAACATCTGCGAAATATAACCGCTATACAGTAGTCTAATTGTACAATCCGCAAGGTAATTCATACAAATCCTTCAATTTTGTCAACCAGGGGAACAGATAACTCATGAGGGCTGTCACACTATATTGGAAAACAGGTATATCGCAATACATATCATATCGTATCACAATACAGAGATGAAATATTGCTGTATCGCAATATTTTTCAAAAGCCAATGAGCATAAAGCAGGCTTTTAATAGTTCAAATTTTGTAATGGATTGTTGGTTTGACAAAAATCTCAAATCTATGTGATCCATATCATATATGATTAAATTTGATATAACATTCTGACAACAACTTATTATAAAATTGAGCACATCCTTCCTATGACAATATATCGGGATATGTATATCGCAATATATTCATTCTGTATTGCAATATATTGTGATAAACTCTTGGCGTATTGTGACACCCCTACAGATACCACAAGTGAGACTCACTGAGTACGCTTGTAACCCATGGAACTTGAAGGATGGAAATTAGGAACTTAATCCCTGGGTCACACTTTAGACCTAGCCCTACGGATACATGAGTGTATTTTGCTTAGCAGGGAGAAAACAATGCATTGATGTGACTAGGATTAACCTTGGGGTCCAGCCACCTCTCAGGGACAATTAGTCACTCTGTGATAACATGAAAAAGGTTGAGATCTCCAATTCATAGGATATACAAATGCTGAACTTGAAGTATCAATCATAATTATGCTACCAGAATTGGTCCTGGGGTCCGGCCTTGTCTTTGTGGACTTCAGTCACTGGATTTTAAGTTTAATAGATCGAGAATCTGAAAACATATATGATGTTCTTTCCCCTAAAAATAGGGTAATAATGGATGATTATTAAATAAAAATCTCCCTACTAAAAATCCAATCTCCCTACTTCAGAACAAAAAGTCATCACAGGTATGTATAACATAAAAACATTAAAGATCCTTACAAAACCACCATATATGCAACTGCTACACATTAATATTATGTAGACAAATACAGTGGTATTGGCCCGGAGGTAGAGCCCTGTCACGTGGAACTTAGTCACTGGGTCATATACACTGTAGTAGAAATCATACTGAATTTCTCAACCCACAGCCATGTACATTTGTATACAATTGCTTGGTAGGAAAAGATAAACAAAGTTATGCCACCAGGATTGCTCCAAGGTCCTGTAAGCTCCTTGGGATTTGTTCTTGCATCAAAACTCAGAAACGGTTGAGATCCCAACTCCATAGCTGCTTTTTCAAAGGTTGGAATAGTTCATAACTAAGTATATAGTTATCATGGTCCAATCCTAAAAGGTGGCACACAATGAGCCTTTGATTTTGTCATGATATATTTTAGGGATGCAGAGAGCGAAAGTGAGTGTAACCCCTGGAGTATTAAGGATGGCATTGGACATCAATTCAGTTCAATGGCTAAACATTTGAGTTACATTGCATCTGATGTTTGTTAATTTCATCCAACTGTCTCCATCTCCAATACACTTATGGGACATACTGTAGTTGATGATATGGATTGTTCCATCTTGCTGACCAATCCACAGGCAGTTATCCGTGTCCATAGCAACAGCTATTGGGTGTGTCAAACCGTCCTCTTCTCTCATTAGGAACTTTCTGAATTGACCCTCGGGGGTCAACTGATGTACAGCATGGTTCCAGTAGTCGGACACTATGAGGTGATCAGCCTCGTCCTGACACATCCCTCGTGGATAAAACTGATGTGCTGGTTTGTAACCTATTGCTCCATAATACCTTGTTTGCTTCAGAAGATTGACTACACATCCTATATCCTTTATGTTTGGCTTTGAAGAACTAAAAGGTGCATCAAGATAAAACACAGCTAATTTTGTCTTTACAATATCACAAGATTGTATCTTTTTGGAAAACTCGGAATATTGTTTAGAATCAATACATTTTACCAAAACTCCATCTTTGTTGTATTCATGAAAATATGTTATATTTACTCTGTAATCACGCAAAACGGATTTCTCTGTGCATGAAATAACGTTTCCAGATTCTGCTATTCCAATGCGTTCCAATTGAAGTTTCCAATCTTGATGACCTAAATCAGCAAAGCGGTAGACGTTGCCCTGTGCTGTAACTCTGTTGATGACTGTACTGGATGCTGTTTGTACATATATTCCATGTTCAGTCATTGGAGTGATTTGTACCACACCCCTCATGAGTGGTTTAGGCTCCGCTGTCCATTTGTTTGTCTTGCTTAAATCTATAAGGTAAAGCTTCCTCTCAGAAAGGATAAATGCAGTTCTGTTTCTAATTGGAGCAATTCTATCAATTGGTTTATCTTTGAATTTGTATCTCATATCTGATACTGCATCCTCATATACACTGTCGGAGTCTGTTGATTCATCATCAGTTTCCTTGGCTACGCTGTTCCCCGGAGGTACAACTACCCCCTCCGTATTGTCAGAGTCAGATACCACCTCTATGTCTAGCCCAGTCACATGTCCGTATGGTCTTCCTTTACAATGGATACAGGCTTCTCCAGGTGTGAAAACAAGTGGTTTCTCCATCTCTAAAGCTGATGTGGCTGATTGGTCAGAGGATTTGTGAAGCATTTCTAAGACAAGAAGCAGCTTTGTATTATCAAGGTTCTTCAGGGAAGTTGGACTATCTGTAAACATTTTGATGATGGAGATAACTGTCTGTAACTGTACCATCTGACTGTCCAGGCATTGTGTGTGTGTTTGAAGATGACCTGTCGCTGAAGACTGTAGATCTTGACACCATCTTTCCACTTCTAGCGCTAGTTTTGCTTTGTGATTAGAAATTTCTTCAGAAATTTCTTGACAATTCTCCACCACTTTCTCTTTCTGTGTTTCAATGCCCTTGATTTTGTTTTTAAGATCTCTAGATAATTCCTCGCCATTACTTTGTAATATTTCTGTCAATTCCAGTTTTTTACTGCTGACAACATCACTAACTTTACAAAACTTGTGGTTGCTATGGTTACTGTCTATGATACAGTGAGAACACACAGGTCTGTCACATGACTTACAAAACAATATTATCTGCTCAGATTTGTGGACAAGACAGCAATCAGATATTTCTTTAAGACGCTTCTGGACATTTTGGTTTTGGTCCTCTGTAGATAAAGCCTTAGCAACAGAGGTGACATCCTTCACCTTATTGGATGAATTCATATCTTTGTCTTCCGTCACTGATTCTTGTGCCTGATTGTTTTGTTTTAGTAAATCTACTTTTTGTTCAGTATAAGGGATTTCTACTTCCTGTTTTGGTTGAGGTGATGTCATTTCCTGTTTGGGATGAGGAAACACCACTTCCTGGCCATGCGTTGATGATGATGATGTTTCTAGTTCTATGTCAGTCATTTCTTGTGTCTGATCCGTTGGATGTTCCAATGGAGAATGTTCTTTTGATTCACTGTCTAAAGATTCTTGTGTCAGATTGGTTGAGTGTCCCAGTAATACTACTTCTGGTTCAGTGTTGGGTAGATCCACTTCCTGTCCCTGTTTTGTTGATGTCATTGTTTCCTGTTCTGTCTCTGTTGACTTTTGTCTGTGTTATGATAAAACTAAACCCTGCTCTTTTTTAATGAATATCACTGTTCTCTTTGGTTGTTTTGTTTCACATTTTTTTTTTCTTCTGCCTGAAATAAAATGAGAACATTTTGTTAAGTATATCTTCTTGCAATAACATGTAACAGGAAAAAGAGAAAATGTACGGCCAGACCGGGGTTTGAACCCGGAACCCTCCAAACTCTAGACGGATGCTCAACAAATTGAGCTACCTGGTCCCCGAGGATCAACCCAGAAAAGTTCCGCTACAAATATATATGTTCTACGGTTAATAATTCATTTTCATCATCATCATCTTCCATTAAGTGACAGATCTCCTTGATGGAGTGCAATTGTCACTGTGAGAGGTTCCTAGAGGTGGCAGTTAAAAACTATTTTGTTATGGTATTTTCGTATATGATGAAACTATTTTCCAGAAGTATACATGAAGTTAGTATAGAGGAAAAGGGTTGAAGCCTGCAATTGCTGATTTAAATGAATTTAGATCAGGCGATTGGGCGATGTCTGTGGGTATAGAGTTCCAGGTGATGATGATGGGGAAAAATTAATATTTGTATTGATTTGATGCGGTTATGATCTGATGAAATTTGTGAGCCCCCCTTGTTCTCCTTGTTTGATTAGAAAATTTTGAAGATTAATATCCTTCAACACTTTGGTCATATTACAATGGAAATTTCCAATTATGTCTATTAATATACGTAAACATGATGTACATGTAAATATTTTAAGCATCACACAACTACAACATATGGTCCACGTATTAAACTTTAAGATTAAAAAATATATCTTGATAATCTTGTGAGGCATAAATGGCCTATTACCATCCTCATTTGTGTCAAAGTTCATTAACGAATTGACATTTCAAACATTTACAGCGTATTAAAACCAGAAGGCATTATCTGACCAGTAGTTTAAGCTGAGGTGGGGGACTATCAAAACCATTTAATTAATTTTATGACCTAGAACTTTATTCATGCAAGGTCAAAGGGGTCAGATATGCTAAACTATTTAAACTGCTAAAGAATCATAAGTCATATATGGTCTTTGGTCTTAAAATCTTTAAAAAGCTTATAAAAAGGTCATATGATATTTGATTTGCAGGTTTCTTGAATTGGGTGACCTTCATTAAAAAAATAATGAAGAGCTGCGTGGGGATGTTTAAGTGGGGTCAAAATACCTAAATAATAATTGTTCACTTTACTATCATGGAAGTCGGGGTTCAATTAAAAATTGCTTTAGCGAAACTGGACTCACTCACTCACGGGGTTGATCACTGCGCGGCAACCAGGTTAGCTCAATTGGTTAAGTGCGGTCCTCTAGAGTTCAGAAGCATGACATTTTCAATCAATCAATGACTTCTTCATTTTCATGAAAGTCAAGAAAAGGTTTATTTACTTTAATTTATTGCTCTCTACGTGAAAATAAAATAACATTGTAGGGCTCACTCACAGAATAGGTGGGCGGGGGGGGGGGGGTAATTTCACCTTGCTTCACAAAACAATACCACTATTTGCTCTTTTTAGGTCAAATATGGTTAGAAGTTAGATTACCTTCCATCATACACTCAGTACTATAGTAATAACAGCCTTGTGTCTTTGCCAGCCTTCCTCTAGATTGATATTACACAGTAATTAACACATAGAAAAACATAGTAAAAATTGGAAGATAATCTTTACTTTGTGCCATACCTAGACTTTATTCTCTAAATCTACAGCCCAAAGTTACCTACCTGGTAATTGATAAATACCTGTGACACTATATAACCACTGCACCACCACTTCTTACAAAATATTGTACTTCCTTATTATGGATAAAAGTCTCCAAATTAGGATGCTGCTGTTTACTGGTTAATACAAATTTCAAAATGGCAATTTAAAATGAACTTTCTTTGAGAGAAATGTTCAATACAAAAATATTTCTTGATTTTAAAATGATATTGCCTGTCTGTAACAACTCTAAAATGTATTTTAAAATGTTTTTATAATTTTCTTTTTTGAAACAGTCCATGTATGTAAAGAATTTGCAATTGGATACAAGAGAAACGTTTCGTTTTACATTTAAATCTGCACTCAACCGTTACAAAAGGAAAGCATGGTGTTCTTTCAGCAATAGAGAGCTATGTTTTGGTTTAAGTACAGCCATCTAGATATCTTGTGAATTTTTTTCATGTTTTACGCCATATTCCATAATGATTTGTTTTAATATTCATCCTTAGTTAATTCTTGAATACATTATTAATCAATCCTTTATCAAAAACCAATACAGAATCACATTTATGTAGAGGACATCGATGACATACACTATAGTATTTACTATTGTGTAATTCAATGACATATTTATTTGCAGATTTTTTATTACATCCAGTTAGCTAGTTTGCTTATATTCAGGGACAAAAGCTAACAAAATTGTTTTAAAAGAGACAAAATTAGGGAGGGGGCTTAATTGTAGGCACCCACCCTGTTTCCAGGACATTACTGTAACCAAAGTATGGTTTGGGCTTATTTGCTAGTGGGGGCTTATTTGTGGTAAAATGCGGTAATGAATGAAGTCCATTTGATTTTTTTCCGACTGCTGTGCTTCCTTTAAACTATTTACAGTTAAATATTTGGATATTAAATGCTAGTTGTATCATCTGGAATGTTTGCTGTGCATCTGTGCTGAGTGTTCTGTCCAGCAGAGTGACTTAAAACATGTCTTCCAACATGACCATAAAGTTTTGAAGTTTCAAGTTTTTAGGTCACATGAGACAAAGTCTAGTGAATTTCATGACCCTGAGGTCTCAAGTTTCCCCCTGGGGAGGGGGTAAACTTTACTGTAGTTTATATAGGGAAATCACATTTTGGAACAGCATTTGTTTAATTTCCGTTGGAATTAATTCAAACTTGGTTAGCATTATGCACAAATCAGCCCTGACTGAACCCGGCAGGGGCTGATGGGTTGGGCCAAAAAGGGTCAAATTGGCTAAAATTTCAAAAATCTTCTTCTGAAGACCCAGATATGGTAGAATCAAATACTCTTCATAGATGGAAGGGTCTTAAGGTGCTTTACCAAAATTGTGAATTTCATGACTCTGGGGTCTCACGTTTCCCCCTGGGGAGGGGGTAAACTTTACCATAGTTTATATAGGGAAATCACATTTTGGACAGCATTTGTTTCATTTCCATTGGAATTAATTCAAACTTGGTAGAGTTATCAGTTTTTTACATAAATCAGGTGACCGTTAAGGCCCATGGGCCTCTTGTTAAAATATGAAATCAAACTACTCATGTTTAGAAACAAAATGAATTGAATCACATGCACAGGGAATAGTCAGATTTATGTCCATATACTATTGTCCTAGGTTTGAACCCGGTCTGGCTGTGCATTTTCATTCTCCTGTTGCAGTGATGCTTGTGTCCAACCCTTGTTTCAAGCATTTGGTGTATACTTGACAAGGGGATACCTGAACCTCACTGGGTAGTAAACTGTTGTGTCTTCAGATGCGAAGACTTAAAGGAGGGAGGAATGTAGCTGAACTGGACTGGATTGATCGTTGGCGACCAGATAGCTCAATTGGTAGATTATATGCTAGAGTTTGGAAGGTCCTGGGTCGAGCCCCGGTCTGCCTGTGCACTTTTCCTCTCCTGTTACACTATATACATACAGGGGCGTAACAAATGGGTTTTCAATGTGTAAGCCCAATGATGAAATGTGCTGCCGAAGGCAACACACTGAAGCGCGTAGCGCGAGGAGGGGGAGGGTATGGGAGGCAGGCGCGTAGCTGGGCTTTTTCGATATGCATGCAGAAAGTCGCACCAAAGGTGGGTATGCGAGCGCCAAAGGCGCGAATCCATTCTAGGGGGGTACGGGGGCATGCCCTACCGGATTTTTTTTAGATCTAGAAGCTCTGTTGTGCCATCTGGTGGCTTTTTAGATACATTTTTGAGTGTTTTAATTTTTAATTTTGGTTGATTCATTCACTTTGTTATTGGAAAGCATCGCAAAAATTCAAATGTATTTCAAATGCGAAAGACAGCTCTCCTTTTATTTTCTCTACGCCAAAAATTTGTCGATTGTTGGAATTCCTCGAAAATATCCGTTGCGTCATATCTCTTTCCTGATGAATCTGAATTAACTAGATATTTAAAATGTCGGAGCCAATATAAACAGATTAATTTCAGATTTTTTGCTGTTGTGTCCACCAAACCCTTTTTATATCATCAACATTTCTCAGAACATAAGATGACGGTCGCTCCTATATCGATGTTTAGATATATGTATAGATCTACATATATATACAGGAGCCCTACTGAAGATAGACCTAGGACTACTCTTAAAAACATACTTTATAAGTTCATGACGGGGAAAAATGAATGTATCTAACTTAGTGTATCTATGATGTGAAATTCTCAATAGACCTATATAATGTCACAGATAAGCAAAAGCTAGGGGGTCTTACCCCTTCCCATCGATGTGGGTTGTGGGGGTCTCCCCCAGGAGATTTTTTTGTTTTCTAGAATGCCTGAGACGCGTTCTCCCGTGTTCTGGCGTCAGTTTCAATGGCCATTTTAAAGCAAGAAAATATTATTTTCCCCTATTATTTTACAAATATTTTGCTTTTTAATATTTTGTATCATATTGTCTTTGTCGCCTTTTTATTATTAAAATGATGTGTAAGCCTGGGCTTTTTTTGTTACATAGGTTGTTACGCGCCTGACATATTATATCCAATTGTGAACCGGACCTATTTTATATCAGCAAAATCTAAATTTGAGTTTAGATCTGCATCTGAGAACACCTCTGTGTATTTAAAGAATCAACAATAAATTGAAATTTGTAAATCAAATAAGCTTGGTATCACCTCATTCAGTGGATTGAATTTTTCCAAACTTGGTCAAAATCATCCTTGGTAGATGAGGCTACAAAACTGTAAAATTGGGATACCTACCCAAACCCCAGGGGCCTGGGCAGAACCCCAAAGGGAAAATTAACCAATATTTCAAAAATCTTCTTCTCCAGACTCAGAGGTACTACAGTC